CCCCAAAACCCCAAAACCCCAAAACCCCAAAACCCCAAAACCCCATAAGATTAAGAGGGTTATTATACAACAAATCAATCCTAATAATTTAAATTTCTTATTATTTATTAGTTCAAAAGACTATAATAAAGCAAGACTTAAATGGAAAAGACCTCTAATGATCAATCAGTAGAAGTGATTAAAAAACCAAGAACAACCTATTCAACTCATGTTCTTCGCAGGGCAGTTCCAAACTTCAACTATAAAGCATAAAAAGAATCAATAACTTAAGTAAAGCTAAAAGTGCTTACTGTTTTACGACTTCCCAAAGAGGAGTAGGCATCAAGGAGAGTTAAAACAGTCGACAATATTCCAAAGATTCTTAGTTTTGTGTCTTTACATGATAATTAGAGAATCAATGGAAGATCAAGAATTCTTAATGACAAAAAAGATGATATGGCTGTGGTCGATGAAGATATAGAAGAGGAAAGTAAAAGATCTAGAGGCTTAGACTGTGATTAAGACGAAAGAGATCGATTTAAAGATAGTGCCACTTCTGATGATAATGATGGTAGCTCAATAGAGGGTGATGAAGATGATGAGTACAAAATCTATTAAGTAATACAATAAAGTTTATAGCAAAGAGATTAGCCTATAATTGTTGATGATCTTGTAGATAATGAGACGATTGACCTACTTAGGCTTTGCTAAAAATTTAGATATCCAAGTGAGGAAGAGATCAAAGATAAATTCGTGAAATTCGGTCCATAAAATAGAACTAAAACGTTAGTCCTGGACATGGACGAAACCTTGATTCATGCTAAGTTTCTTACTTCACCTGATATGGAAAAATCTGATGATGGTGATTTTACAGTACATCTGGCTAGTAGAGACAGTGAAAATGTAGTGAAAGTTAGTGTGAAAATGAGACCTTATCTAGACAACTGTTTGGAATACTTGGCTAAGTACTATGAAATAGCAGTATTTACTGCAGGAGAGTAGTCGTATGCAGATGCTGTTCTTGACTATCTAGATGAAGGTAGATAGATTATCAGGCATAGGCTCTATAGACAGCACTGTGTAAATGCAATTGATGGAATATATGTGAAAGATTTGAGAATTATTCAAGATCGAGATCTAAGGAATATCGTTTTAGTTGATAACTCTATAGTATCTTTTGCATTCAATATGGATAATGGAGTACCAATTAGTGCTTTCATTAGATAGCCAAAGGATGAAGAATTTCTGTATCTAGTAAGCTTTTTAGATGAGGTTTTCCATTCTAATGACGTTAGAGAAAAAATATCATCAACATTTAAACTGAAAGAATAGATGTAGAAAATCAAGCTTTGAAGGCAAGGGATGATATAAAAGTTAGTTAATTCAATTTTTTCAATCTTTAAGTTGATCTATCTTTTATTTTTATCTATATTTTTTCAATAAATATTAATCCTAAAATATTCAATAGCAATTATCGAAAATAATGTTGAGCAATGGGGTTTTGGGGTTTTGGGGTTTTGGGG